GGAAAAACCTCTGCTCCTCCCTCCACACACGCGCTGTGGCACCGTATCCAGGGAGGGACCGGCAGCTCCTGCCGGGGCAGGGGTGGGGAACAGGGAAACAGTGGAAAACAGTGGAAAACAGTGGAAAACAGAGGAAAACAGAGGAAAACAGAGGGAAACAGAGGGAAACAGAGGAAAACAGAGGAAAACAGAGGCACATCCCCCTTCTGCCTGGGAGAGGCTCGATGGCATCACCTGCTTTGGAGGAGAAATCCTTCTCCAGCAGCTCCTCAGGGTCCTCGTGCTGCTGTTAAGCTGAGTGGGGAGGATGGGGGAGGATGAGGAGGGAAGGGGGATGCCGGGGGATGCCGGGGGATGCCGTGGGATGCCGTGGGATGCAGGGATCACATCTCCTGCCGCTCCCAGAAGATGCCAAACCTCATGTTGAAGGGGGTTTCTCCCCCCAAATCACTGTTCCCCCTGGTTTGCAGAGGTGCTGAGCGCTGGGTTTGTGCATCCAGGAGCAGAACAGCAGCAAAAAAACACATCCCAGGCCACGAAGGGAGCAAGGACGGGACAGACCCAGCTCTGAGCACAGGGACAAGGACAGGGGGACAGAATTAACGCCCCACCTGGAACTATTTGAGGGCTTTTGAAGGCTCAGAAGGGGAAGGGAAGGGCTCCCAGCTCCCAGCTGGGCTCGGTGCCTGCCCTGCCAGCAGCTCCCAGGGTTTGGTACCCGGCTCACGTTCCAGGCTGGGCATTCCCCAGGCCTGGCTCCCGTCTCCCAGGGCGGCCACGCGTCTCCCAACACCCTTCCAAGGGGAAAAGGAGCCTCAGGGGCACTCGGGGACTTAACTCCCACTTGTCCCATGTCACACACATAGGCTGAGACAGGAGGGGCCAGAGGACCCTGTGCTGCTTCACAAGCTCTGGGACGCTTTAATTTATTTATTTACATTTTTTTTCCCCTTGGTTTGTCTGTGAAAGAGGGAGGAGTTGTGGGTTGAGCACAGCTGGACCAGGAGAGATGGGATGTCCCCACAAACAGAGCTGGATTAAACCCTGTGTTTCCCCAGCTCACACCAGGGAGTTCAAATCCAACCCCCCCCCAGCAGCCAGGCTGAGTCCTTGCAAAGTCATGACACCTCACAACTGACCCCAGAGCACCCACAAACCCCACAAGGGAAGGATCCTCCCCCTCAGTCCCGATGCCAGGGAGCTGCTGAGCCCAGACCACTGGAAAACACAGTGGGAACAGGAGTGGCCTGTGAACCCCCAACCCCTCGTGTGGGACCTGGAGATGTGGGAGGTTCTGAACCCCCCCAAATCCTCTGCAGCGCAGTGGGGGCTTCACCCCAGTCCTCTGCAGGCCCAGGGAGCATCTCTGCATCCAGTGTTCCTCATTACCCCCCAGGATTGAGCCCAGGGTGGATTTTAAGGCATTATAAGGAGAAAGGGATGTCATTCCACAGTGACCCTCGCTGGGAGGGCCCCACAAACCCACTCCAGGACTAAACCCAGAGCAGCTTCCCAATCTCCTGCAAAGCAGAGCAGGACGAGGCTGGCCCTGGAGCCATCCCAGGCACTGCTCCAGGAACAGGGACACGAGTGGCCAGGACCTGTGCAGGGGTTACAGCTCATCAACGCTCGCAGTAATTAAGGTGACGAGCTGATCCCTCAGCTGGGGCTGGGCCAGCACTGGGGCCACTGCAAAGCACCCTGACCCTACACCCAGGGCTGGGGGACCCCGGGCAGGGGGTGCCACACGGGGCTGGGTGAACCCCCTCCCCTCTCTGGCACCACCCACAGCCTCCCTCGCTGAGTGAAACTCATCAGCACAGGAATTACCCTGAGCAGAGCCCACTGTCCTGCCCCCTGCACTGCCCCAACACCTTCCAGCATCCAAGGTCCTGCATGCAGGAGGAAGGGGAGGAGGAGGAGGCAGCAATTCCCCCAGCCTGTGTAGGGTCTGCAGGGTGGGGAGCAGCCAGTTCTCCCCAGAGAACAGCCCACTCTTGGATCCTCAGGTGTCTGACAAGGGGTTGATCTCACCCCCACCACGGGCACAGCTCCTGCCTGGGTGTCCCTTGTCCTCTCCCAAGGTGTTCTGTATCCAGCCTCAAGGGGACGAGGCAGGGAATGGTGGTTTGGCAGGATGGGCAGGGGAAGCTCGAGGGGTTCACAGCCCAAAACCAAACCTGTCCTGGGAAAACCCACTGCCAGCACGGGAGTCCCACCAGGAGAGGCAGCCCCTGCCCTGCAGCCTCCCCCAGAGGCACACAAAGGGTTAACAGCGACCAATCCCAGCGGGATCCATCCCAGCTTCCCCAAGCCCGGGGCCGGGAGGGATCACAGACACAGCGGGAGATCAAAGGGAAGCGCCGAGTCCCGGGAGACTCGTTACAGTTTGAAACGCTCCGGCAACGCCAGGTCCCCGAGCCCAGGCTGCAGTCCTGTCCCTCTGTCCCTCTGTGCTCCCCCGGGATGGGGACAGGGAGATGCTCATCCCAGGGAGCTCCCAGGCTCGGTGCCAGCGGAGCTGGAGTCGCTCATCCGGTCTCTGCAGAGCAAACACTGAACAAACTCTGCTCCCTGGCAGGGCCTGGGATCTGGCAGTGGGGCTGTGGCACCAACCGCAGCAGGGTGGGCAGATCCATCCCCCATCCCATTATCCAGGCAGTGGCTGGGATGTGCCAGAGCTGTGCCAAGTCCTTGCTCCCCACCCTCAGGGAGGAGCCGGGTCCTCATCCGACAGTAACGATTTGAAAGCTTCAGGAAGAGCAGGGCAGAGGAGAGGCCTCACTCGCATCCAGGTGGGAGAAAGCAGCCTCCTCCATCCCTCAGGCTCCCAATCCCATCCTGGCACTGAACCAGCCCGTGACCTCTGCTGCCTGAATTCCCTCAGCAAACACCGACAACCGCCTGGGCCACGTCCAGCAACTGCAACTGCCCGGAGTGGGATGGGGAAAAGCTCACCTGGGGAGGAAGGAGCACTCCCACAGCTCACCCCACACCCACGCCAGCACAGCCACACTCACCTCTCCCCACCGTGGGCACCCAGCCGTGGGGGGGAGCTGCTGGCGGAGCGTGGGATTCCCAGGAGCAACAGCAAAGGCAATACTGGGCTGAACAAAGCGGCCTTGGATCCGGTGGATTTGCCAGAGGTACCAGCTGAGCGTATCCTGTCCCCTCCACGGCAGCGTCCTCGGGAACACCGAAGCTGTATCTCTATTCCAGAGGGGAACTGCTGCTGCTGGGAACACCCCTCACCCAGAAATAAAGGGTGAAGAAATAACCCTCAAACCAGACCCTCAGGAGGAGGGGGATGAGCTCTGGGGCCCTGGGACTTTTTCCCCTCTCTTTAAAAGGAGGAGGAGGAGGCAGCCTTCCTCCCCACCATGCTCTCCTAGGCTGTGGAGGGTGTGTGGAAAAAGCATCTTCTGGCTGCAGGAGGGTCCTTCCTGTAGAGCATCACCCCAAAACCAGCGCCCTGGTCCCCCAGAAATGCTCCAACACTCGGCTCAGGGCAGGGCTGGGTGCAGGCAGGGCTGGGTGCAGGCAGGGCTGGGTGCAGGCAGGGCTGGGTGTCTCCCAGCTGGAGCATGTCAGTGGGGAGAAGCAGTTTTGGAAGTGCCACGAGGAAGCACAGAGCCTCTTCCTTCAGCCACATGGAACCCTCTCCTGCTCTCCGGGAAAACCAAGCGCTGCCTGCGCAGGCAGGGCTGGATCTGCCCCCACCACCCCGCCAGGGGATGGGGATGGGGATGGAGAGGGGAGGGGGAGGCAGGGGGGGGCAAAACCCTTGCAATTCATCCTGCCCCCGAGCAGCAGGAGAGGTTTTCCTCCCTCTCCCCTCTCTCAGGGCAGGGCGTGTTTTTAAGGCGTGTTTCCCAACGACCTTCAAACGGCAGCTGCTCGCAGCCCCCTCCCCACGGCCCCCCACGCTGCCCGCAGCCCCCTCCCCACGGCCCCCCGCCCTGCCCGGCCCCGCCAGGGGGGTCGCACGGGAGGGGGCACCCCCCGAGTGCTGCCATGGGGGTTGGGGGGGCTGTGCGGGCAGGGAGGGGCTGGCAGGGGCAGGGTGGGGGGCAGCGGAGCCCCTCGGGAGCTGGGTGTCCCCCCCAGCAGGGTGTGGGTCCTGGAGCCCCCCAAAGCCGGGGGCCGGTCTGCAGGACCCCCCTGCACGGCGGGTGCGGGTCCCAGGGCGGGTGCGGCGCCCCCTTTCCCACCCGCATGTGCCGCTGCCAGACCCCGCACGGGGCCGGTCACCCCCACGCCCCCAGCCCGGTGCCCCCCGCCCGCTGCCGATGCACGCTCGGTACCGATGCCGGTGCCAGGTCCCCGGTGCCCCTGCCCGGTGAGAGACCGTGCACGATGCCGGTCCCACCCCACACCCCCCTTTTCCTGCCGGTACCGATCCACAAGCGACGCCGGTGCCGGTCCCCGCTGAGCCCCCGCCCGGGGCCGGGGCCGCTCCCCGCCCGGTTTCGCTCCCGATGCCGATTCCCGCTGACCCCCGTGCGGTGCCGGTCGCGCCCTCTCCCTCGCTGGGAGCCGATCCCACCTCACCCCCTCCCCGTGCCGATGCCAATCGTCCCTCGCCCTCCGCCCGTTGCTGCTGCCGATTCCCTCGGCCGGCACCGCTGCCCCCTCGACCCGCTCTCGGTGCCGGTGCCAATCCCACCTCATCCCTCTCCCGGAGCCGGTGCCGATCCCCTCCGACCCTCTCCCGCTGCCGGTGCCGATCCCGCTCCCACCTCACGCCCCTCCCGCTGCGATCCCCGCCGCCCCCTTCCCGGCGCCGGTGCCCCCTCGCCCCCCGCCCGGTGCCCCCCGCCCGATCGGTGTCGGTGTCGATCCCACCTCACCCTCACCACCCCCCCGGCCTCCCCGTGTCGATGCCGCTCCCCTCTCTGATCCCTCCCGGTGCCGATCCCCCCTCTCTGACCCCCTCCCGGTGCCGATCCCCGCTCCCGGTGCCCCCCGGCCCCGCTCCCCGCCGGTCCCCCCGCACTCACCAGCGCGGTGCGGGCGCTGAGCAGCAGCAGCAGCAGCAGGAGCGGCACCGGGAGGCTCCGCAGCCCCCGGGGCGCCGGCGGCGGCACCTCCCCGGGCATCTTCCTGCCGCAAGGACGGTGGCGGCGGCGGCGGGAGGCGGCGGGAGGCGGCGGCGGGGGCGGGGAAGGGCCTTTGTTGCCGCCGCCCGCGGGAGGCGGGCGGTGGGTGCGGGCGGTGGGTGCGGGTCCGTCTCCGCCGCCGCCGCCGCGCCGCCCCCCGGCCCGGGGAGGGGAGGGGAGGACGGGGGGGCCACCCCCGTGTCACCTCCCGCCCGGTGTCACCGCCCCGGTGCGGCCGTGGCGCGGGGAGAGCATCCGGGGGGGGGGGGGGGGGGGGGGGGGGGGGGGGGGG